GGGACTCATGACAGGTAAGCACAGGTAATGGAAAGTAGGGAGGAACGGGAGGGAGCCAGAATGTGGGGCTTTAAGTGTTCAAATAGGATTTGAAAAATCAAAGGAGCAAGATTAAAGGAGGCAAAGCATTCAGCTCCATTCACACAGGAGGAAGGTGACAGAAGACGAAAGGTAAGTCACAAGGTCTAATTTGCTTCATGAAAATCAGAGAGTATATGTGAGACTGAGAGTGGGTGTCTCCTCTATAGTGTCTCAGACTTTCCTAATCTGAGCTAGCCTGGGTTTTGCAAATCCTTATTGGAATAGAAACTTCATCGTGGCAACTATTTCTGTGTGCTCTGTTCATTGCAGAATCAACAAATCTACGTAAGTCCCCACTTGTGAGAGGCTGGCAATAAATAGTTGTTGAGTAAATGCAGTGCTGCTGGCAATTCTGTCTTATGTGCTCCGTGGCCGTGATCAAGGAAAACATCCCAGGCTCGGTGAATTGTTTGTTTCTTTGTTCATTTAATATACTAGTTTAAGCTGCAGGCTCTCACTGCCCTTCCTGGGAAAGAGAGCTGGGGTTTAGGTTGTGTGGACAAGAGTCGATAAGACCCGATGATGTTTTTCTTGCTGTCAAACTTTAAGACCTTACATCTTTTCATCTACAAGAGGTTGATAATAACAGTACTTTACCCCATGTCTTTGCTGAGGATCAAATGAATCATGAAATCAAATGAAACACTTGGATGTCTAACACATGGAAAGCACCTACAAATGTTACCAGATAGATAGAGAGATTTTTATTTATTTAGTTTTTCAAGTCAGAGTCTCACTCTGCCACTCAGGTCAGAGTGCAGTGGCACAATCTAAGCTCACCACAGCCTTGACCTCCTGGGCTCAGGCGATCCTTCCACCTCAAACTCCTGAGTAGTTGGGACTGCAGGCACATGCCATTATGCCCAGCTCAAATGTTACTTTATATACTATTCTTTTAAATCTTGGGGGCATTCATCTTTTTTTTTTTTTTTTACCTTGGGCACAACTTTATATACTATTATATTGTACAATATTTCAATGTCACTATTGAATGTTACTGCATTATTACTATATTTACTTGGAGGATTGTGGAACAGATGGCTTAGTTAAGCTTCATTTCTTCAGTTAGATGCCAAGCCCTAGCCCATCCCTTGTTATTGTTTTTCAAATTTTTTGGTCTCAGAACCTCTTTATATTCTTAAAGATTATTGAGGTCCCCAAGGAAATTTTGTTTCTGTAGATACCTAGATATTTTCCATATTCAAAATGAAAAGTGTTAAATTAAAATATATGTATCAATCCATTTCAAAATGAAATGGTAAATACATTATAGGTTGACTTTATTTCCCCCCAAAAAAATAGGGATACCAATGGCATTGTTTTACACTGTTGTACTCTGGCTTAATGGAAGAAAGCAGAATTCTCTTCTGTTTTTGCAGTCATCTTGATATATTATTTTTGTTGAAGTGTAAGAAGAAAATCTGGCCTTTTGCAGATATGTTAGAAAAGAAAGGAATATTCTTTTAGCCTTTGAGATAATTGTGGATATTCTTTTCTTTTTCTTTTTCTTTTTTTTTTTTTTTTTTTTGAGTCACAGTCTCACTCAATTGCCCAGGCTGGAGTGCAGTGGCACGCTCACGGCCACCGCAGCCTTGACCTGCTGGGCTTAGGCAATCCTTCCACCTCAGCCTTCCAAATGGCTGGAACCACAGGTATGCGCCACCATGCCTAGCTATCTTTTTTATTTATTGTGGAGACAAGGTCTCACCATGTTGCCCTTGGTCTCGAATCCAAGGGCTCAGGGAATCCTCTTGCCTCTGCCTCCCAAAGTGCTTGACCTACACGTGTGAGCTACTGCTCCTGGCTGAGATCTTTTACACAAGCATGACTTTGTAGCATTATGCACTGGTCATTTGCACAATATGAATTATAAAGCTCTTTTAAATGTATTCCACTGTACATTTTTGACAAAATTAGAGTAAAAAAGCAAAATAGAATCTTAACATTATGAAAATAACTTTGACTTCAGAAACCCCTAAGATAATCTCGGGGACCCAAAGGGCCTCCGAAACACACTTGAAGAACTGCAGCATGGTCATTACCTTACTAAGCTATGATGTAGCCATGTGCTCTTTGAGCTATGGCCAGGCCATGTTTTCTTAAGCTTTGGCCTCTTCCCCCCCTTGGGGAGGTGAATCTCCTCTTTCTTTCTCTAAGTTACTTTCTAAATAAACCATATTTTCTAATCTAAAAAAGAAAAAGAAGAACAGCAGCACTAGGTCATTTCAACATTCATAGTAACTGCCTCTTCCTCTCCCTCTGATCTCCTTCTATCCCGCCTTTTATAAGTTCAGACACAATCTATAGTCCCCTCTCTCTGACACTTTACCTCTTCATAGCCAGTTGTTTCTCAGGGTAAAATAAAGGTACAATGAAGTAGGAGCAGAAAGATAAATGGGTAAAAAAAATGCAATTGCTTTTAGAAGTAACAGCATAGTACGAAGAAAGAGCTTAAAACAACATGAAGTAGTCTGGGAAGAGCAGAAGGATAGCTTCTATACATTAGTGCTGCTTCAACTGAGAAATTACAGGTGAGTAGGTGCTGGTGAGTATTAAGCTGGAGGCAGTGGTGAAGAAGAACATCTGCAAATACCCAGAAACAGGAGAATTATGACTTGTTCAAAGAGTGAAGTCCAGTGTGGCCAGAACACAATAGCCAAGGAGAAGAGGGGAGAGCTCAGCTGGTACCTAACATTTGCAGGCCAAGACAGAATACAACTGGAGCCCCACATACAATATTTCTTTTTCTTTTTTTTCTTTTTTTTTTTTTTTTTTAGTTAGAGTCTCACGCTGTCGCCCAGACTGGAGTGCAGTGGCCACTCCCAGCCACCGCAGCCTCAACCTGCTGGGCTCTGGCGATCCTTCCGCCTCAGCCTTCCAAGTAGCTGGAACTACAGGTGCGCGCTACCACACCTGGCTAATTGTTTTTTGATTTATTGTAGAGATGAGGTCTCACCAAGTTGCCCAGGTGGATCTCGAATCCGCAGGCTCAGGCAATCCACTCACCTCAGCCTCCCAAGTCACGGGATTACAGGCTGAGCCACTGAGCCCGGCTGATATTTCTATTTAAAAGTTATAAATCAAGGTAGCAAACGGTCAAGTAAAATATGTTCTTCCTGTCTACCTTGACAAATACATCCTCCTGGAAGCTGAGATACAAATTTTCCTGGTATCCTTGAAGATCTATACAGAGCATGACAATGGAGGAAGAGCTGGCCCCAGTCCCTTCACCCTCATCCTCATCCTCACCTCTGTATGCCCAAAGTCTAGGTTCTGTTGACAACCCTTGACCAACACTCAACCCTCGGGCCTCAAGGATGCACACTGACAGCCTGTTTCTCCCTTAGTAGGACAGATTTAGGAAAGATGCTGTGCAGGCTCAGGGCTGTTTGGCAAAAAAATCTTGTGGTCCCTGATACATGGAGTGTAATTAAGAAGTGGAAGAGTATTCCAGGTCATAACACCTTCGTTCTGCAGGCATCATGCCCTGTGTGGGAGGAGGAAGCATACAGAAAGAGGCCCTTCTAAAGCTTTGCTACTCTAAGTCTTATATGCAGGTCTGTTATATCAGGATCACCTGAGAGCTTATTAGAAATGCAGGCTCTCAAGCCCAACCCAGACCTATTAAATCAAAATGTATATTTTAACTAGATTCCTAGTTTTTTTAAAAGTATGAGAGACACAGAATTCAACAAATGGATTCAAAACAAGGGCTGCTTTTGACTAGCTCCAAGAGCAACACTGTCTGTTCTTGTAAGGCTCCCTAGGCCATGATTGGAGAGGATATCCCTCCTGCACTGGGGTCGTGAGTTAAGTTCAGTTACATGGTCTGAATTGCTTTCCTAAACAACAGTAGATTTCATCCCTTGTGCATTAAGTTGCATCAAACTTTGTGATTTACAGAGAATCTCAGCAAATCTTCATTTTTCCTGGTTTTGTTAGTGGGTTACAGTTATGCAGGATGTCACCATCAGGGAAGGTTGGTGAAGGATGCACAGCACTTCCCCGTACTTTTTTTTGCAACTTCCTGTGAATCGAATTATTTCAAAAATTAAAAGTAGGCCGGGCATGGTGGCCCATGCCTGTAATCCGAGCATTTTGGGAGGTGGAGGTAAGAGAATCACTTAAACCCAGGAATTTGAGACCAGACTGAGCAACATAGCAAGACCTCATCTCAAATTTAAAAAATATATTTTTAGTGTATTTTAAATATATATTTTTAAAGTAAACTAAACAAAGCTAGACAATCTGATAACTTTTGTTTTCAATATTTGTCTATATTTCAAATAATTTAAAAAGATAAAATCAGCCTGTTTAACCAGATATTTACGATGTATGTGACTTTTCCTTCATTTTTGAAGTTCTAATTTCCTCTCTGATAGCCTGAAGATCTTCCTTTAACATTCTATGGAATGGGACTACTGGCCGTGTATTCTCATAGTCCTGAGAATGTCCTCATTTCACTTTCATTCTTGATAGATATTTTCCCAGAATATAGAATTCTGGGTTGACTTTTTTCCTTTCAGCACTTCAAAGATTTTGTTCCACTGTTGCCTTTTCTTTGATGAGAAATCCATGGTCATTTGCTCTTTAACTTATTTTTCTGTGTATAGATTGTTTTTCAACAATCTCACCGAATAAATATCCCCCTACTCTGAGTCACAAAGACATTCACACAAAATTTCTTTTGATAGTTCCAAAGTTTCATTGTTGACAAATACATCTGGAGTATTTGACAATACAATGCAAATCATCTTCCAGCTGAGGTAGAGGCATGGTGGAGTGGGGGTGGGGGTGATCCTTACTTGTCTGAGGTCACTGAGGTCATACAGCAAACCCAGGCCCCTTGAAAACACTGCGATCCAGTGAATGAATTACCTTATCTGCATTCCCTACATAATACAGGCCTTTCATCTTAGATTTCAGAAGCCCTGATGAACAGGATGATCTCAGAGAAGCCCCAGCCAGACCCTTTTATCAACATAAATGATTTCAGCATGAACTTGATGCCACCACAGGATCCAGCTAGCCCCCGTGAGTATCATTTTCCTTTGTCCTCCCTCCCTTTCTACTGCCCCCTTCTGGTGGAACCCTATAGTTGCATTTTGCATTCTTTTTAAAGCAGCTATTGATTGTTGTACCTTACTTTAAACAAATCTATTCAAGGCTGGGTGCGGTGGTTCACACCTATAATCCCAACACTTTGGGAGGCTGAGGTGAGAGGATTGCCTGAGCCTGGTTCGAGACCTGCCTGGGCAGCTTGGTGAGACCTCATCTCTACAATAAATCAAAAAATTAGCTAGGTGTGATGGCGCATGCCTGTAGTCCCAGCTACTTGGAAGGCTGAGCCCAGCGGGTGGAGGCTGCGGTGGCCGGGAGCGTGCCACTGCACTCCAGCCTGGGCGACAGAGAGAGACTCCAACTCAAAAAAAAAAAAAAAAAAAAGTATGTGCTCACGTATAAGATCTGATACAAAAATGCGTCATCACGCCTGGCTAATTTTTCTTGAGTTATTGTAGAGACAGGTCTCACCAAATTGCCCAGGCTGGTCTCGAACCCCCGGGCTCAGGCAACCCTCTTGCTTCTGCCTCCCAAAATGGTGAGATTACAGGCGTGAGCCTTTGCACTCAGCCACGTTTCTTTTTTTTTTTCCCTCTTCGCCCCACCCCAACCCGGGAGTCCAGACCCCAGCTCCTTCCTCCTCTCACGGACCCGGGGGTCCTGGCCCCCAGCCTCCTCCATACCAATCCCGGAAATTCAGGACCCAAGTCCCCCT